CATTAGAAACAAGAACTGAACTGACCTCCCCGACCTATTTGACTGCCATAATGTGGCATATTTCTGTGTGAAATGGGATATTTAAAAAGAAGAAGAAAGCTGAATGGTTCAATGGTTTGAAAAAATGCATTAAAAATTTATTTTATCAGTATCATTATTTCTAGTAAAAATAACTAAGCATCCTTAAAACAGGATGTACATTTAAATAAGAAGCATATTATTATAGTAATATATTAAGACCTGTTTTTAGAAATTTTATCTTGACTACAATGTATTTTTATTATATTCAAAATATTTTTTAAATAATTTTTTTACTCGTGTTAAAGTGAATGTGAACTGATCTCCCCAACCCATTGTACTACCACAATGTGACATATTTCTGAGTAAAACTGTATACTCAAAAAATAAAAATAATTGTTTTTATTTACTATAATACAGCATTGCCTTTTTATTATACCCTTTATAAAAAAATTATATATATATATAAGTATATACTATACCCTATAGTAAATAGGGTTTGTTTTTTTATTTCATGTTGACTTTAAGCACTTTTTTATTATGTTAACATTTTTATTAAAATATTTTAAGTGATTTTTTGTTTTTATTATGCTCTACTCTAAAATGAGACCTGATTTAAATGAGTAAAATATATTTAATGAGAGTACGTAACAGTCAGAAAGAAAGAAAGAAAGATATTAGACAGAAATAAAATTTAAAAAAAATTCTAAAATATCTTTCTACATTCATACAGGTGAATATCATAACCTGACAGCTCATTCAGTGGTCAAACACAAACCTCTATCACGGAAGCTGGCGACTGCTGACTCCAAGTGGCAGCGAGCAGAAGTGCAGGAGGTTGATGTCTCAAAGTCCAGGTCAGACAAAGGGGATGAACTCTGCGACAGCAGTGGCAGCAGCAGCCTGTCCACATCCAGCAAGTGTTTCAACGACAGCAAAACAGAACCAGCACCCGGCCTGGCCTGGAAACACAGCAGGCACCTGAAGTACAGGATTAAAGCACATCACGCTCAAACCCAGCAGAGCAACACCATGAAGACTATGGAGGTGTTTTCCCAGCGGCCCGTGGAGGCCACCTTCATCCAAGAGCGGGCAAACTTGCACGCCGTGGAGGTGACACAGTGTTTCTTTGAGACGGTCTCCACACAGCTGGAACGCTGGTACGAGAGGAAGATCCAGGAAGCGCAGAAGGTGGCAGAACAGAAAGCTCTGCAGGACAGAGCCAGTCTACTGGAGAGGATCAACACCCTGGAGGAAGAGCTACAGAGGCTTCGCACTAACACTAATACGAACTCTTCTTAACACATGCGTGCTATGTATGCCCAGATACCTTGATTCCACCTAATATGAAATTCATGGCAATATAAATGAGATTGGAGCTTTGTAAACACGGAGTAAACTTACAGTAATTTAATTGTTCTATAGTAAAACTCATTTACTCACCATCTTGTCTTTAAAACAAGTTGGAGAAAAATTCAGAATCGAAAAGCTGGCTTCCTTTTGTTGAGTTGGAATGTGAATTGAATTGGCCGCACCCTACAGGAAGTTCAACTGTAATTTGAATAGGATTGACAGGAAGAGGAATTTGCTGAATAGTGATTCAAAGAAATTCAATAATTGCTTATTATGAACATATTAGCTGTTTATTAGTACTTATAAAGCACATTCTGCATGACCATATTCTACATCCCTAATCCTACCCAATACCTTAACTTAATTATCTTACTAACTATTAATAAGAAGCAAATTAGGAGTTTATTGAGGCAAAAGTCATAGTGAGATAATATTTTGTTTTCTATAGTACAGTGAAAGTTAATGAAGACTGGTCTATCAAAATTAATAAAAAATAAAATGGAGCGCAAAAACAGCATATTTATCATGTGACACTTTCAGGATTCGATGAATACTAAAAATTCAGCTTAGCATCACAAGAATAAATTATATATTTTTTAATGTATTAAAATAGAAAACCCTTATTTTATATCATAATAATATTTCACAATATTAACATTTCCCCCCGTTTTTAATGACTTATACTTTTTTTATACATACATGTCATTATTTCCTAAATAACAGGAAAAATTCCTTTGTGTTCCACGGAAGAAAGAAAATCATACAGTTTGGGGTGGCATCATAGCGAGTAAAAATTGACAGAATTTTTATATTTGTATAAACTATTACTTTAAATGTGAATAAAATATCTTCAACAATATGGAGTTAGCTTGTGTGGATTGAAATATTGTAAATTAGGTGACTTTCAGTCAGTCAATTATTGACGAGATGAATAGTAAAGACCTTTCTTTTAATCCTAGATGGAATTACTTTAAGTTACATAGTTCTGTTCTTGTTATTGTAAAATATCTAATATATTGTTTGGTTCTTCAGTCCGTGTACCTGTACAAAATATAATTAAAATGTTTGAATTAAATTGCAATTATAGTTGCTCAACTTGAGAATGAAGAGAACTGTTTAAAATGCATGTAAGAATGCAGTCTGTTTTGTTGTGATTGATAGTACATGAGAATTTATGCCATAAATGTGAAATCTATTAAAAGTTTGATGAGTCAAATGTTGTATAACACTCAGTTCATGACCCACCATGATCTCTGTTTTTGCAGGGGTCTAACAGGTCAGATGCATCATTCTGTATATACAGTGTCAGATTTCATTAGTGAATCTCATCTTTTCTAAACTATTTATATCTTTTCCTTAACTCTAATCTAAATGATTAATGATCATGTTCACTACAAAGTTAAAGTTGAAAACTATTCAATACTTTGAAACTCAAGCACAAGGTTAAAATAATTAAAGGGGTCATATGATGTTGCTAAAAAGAACACTATTTTGTGTATTTGGTGTAATGAAATGTGTTTATGCGGTTTAAGATTAAAAAAACACATTATTTTCCTTATTATTTTACATACTGTACATTATTGTTTCTCCTCTATGCCACGCCTTTTTGAAACGCGTCGATTTTTACAAAGCTCATCGGTCTGAAAAGCGAGGCGTGCTGTGATTGGTCAGCTATCCAGTGCATTATGATTGGCCGAATACCTCAAGCGTGTGACAGAAATGTTACGCCCCTTACCATATTGTGATGCCCTGTCAGACCGGAGCGAAGAGACAAAAGCATTAAAACCCATTATAAAGGAGGCATTTGTTGCATCCAGTGGGGATATAATTATGGATTATAATGACTTATACTGTCTTTTTACGTGTTGCGTTGCATCGCGCCGCATAAACATAAAACCATGTCTGCATTTGTGATCGGAGAAATGACAAACAACAAGCGCTACTCTACACTGCTCAAAACTTGCATTTGAATCGTCAGTGGCAAATTATTTAAATATAAAAAAACGTACTTGCAGTCTGTGAGTCAGAACAGCCGGCATTGTAGTCTACTCTCCCAGGATCAGGAAACAGTCCTCCATAAAATGTGCTGCACACATCTGAATATTTGGGTTGAAGTGTTCTGGAACAGTGTTTTAAATACAACTTAACCACTGATTTCTAGGCGTGTCCCTCTTTTGGAAGGCCAAACTAAGGGTGTAACTTTGGTTTGAGAAGTGGGGGGGACACAAAATGGGGAAAAATGTTTTCGATTTCCTGCATGTACATACATTTAGGGACTATGGTGATACAAATTCCAGGAAATAATTAAGTTGATTAAAGATCAATTCTGCCAAAAAGAATAGTAGGCTACTAAACTATGTATTAGAAAAAGATGTCTTACTTTCTTTATTGTTTAATAGGGGCCGATTGCCAAGACTTGAGAAAATCATTTTATAAAGTCGAAAATGTTCACTATTAATGTAATATTTAAATAATGAGACTCAATTTCCACTGTTAAACAAACTTTTATTTCAAACTAACCGCTGTACCTAAAAATATCAATTAAATCACTTGTTGCACTGGACAGCTTGTTCTACATCAGTGGTTCCCAGACTTTTTAGAGTGGAGTACCCCCTGAGGAAATTCTCAAACCCCCTCTCTTCCTCTTAGACTGCTCCTTTTCCATTAAAGGACAATATTTGCCCCCTAAATTGACTTTCCAATGCATTTTTTATCTTTATAAATAGAATATTAATGTTTAAAATAAAAAGTTCAATAGATTAATATACAATGATGATAAAAAAGTGAAAAGTGATTATTTTAAATACTAAAACCGCCTGTAGGTGGCGGTAAGTCACTGTCTTAATGCGCGAGTCATCGAGACATTTGTTCATTCAGTAACTAAGCAAGTGGCTGGCTGTGTTCGAAATGCCATACTATCATACTACTCTTACTATTTCTGCAGTATCCAGTATGTATGCGGTGCATAGTATGCACATTTTCAGTATGCATGTAATACCCGATGACCTACTACAGGTGCATCTCAATAAATTAGAATGTCGTGGAAAAGTTCATTTATTTCAGTAATTCAATTCAAATTGTGAAACTCAAATGCACACAGACTGAAGTAGTTTAAGTCTTTGGTTCTTTTAATTGTGATGATTTCACAAAAACCCACCAATTCACTATCTCAACAAATTAGAATACTTCATAAGAGCTGGAAAATGAAATCAGCATCTCCATAAAGCTTGTCAGCAGAAGGAAGCATGAAGTGCTCTAAAAATTCCTGGTAGATGGCTGCGTTGACTGTGGACTTCAGAAAAATATGATTATCCTGACCTGAGCTAATTTACGGAATCAACCAACTCACATCTCCTTTCTTTCTTTTCATACATGATGACATTAAAGTCATCTGTTGGCTGCTTCTGGCGTTTCATCGCTGACTGTGCCGCAATCGCGATACCTGCTCATTAGATCTTTCAGTGAGCTATTTTTAGAGTGTGCACGCGACGTTCCTGGACGTGGACGCGTGCGTCTGTGCCCTGCTCGGTCCTGCTCCTCCGTGACGATGACGGCGTGCCGTTAAAAAAAATCATCACTAACGAATTTGAAAGTGGGGGGTAGGGGGTGGGACACAAACGTGATTTTGAAAAGTGGGGGGGACATGTCGGCATGGCCGGCAGATTCGACGAAGGAGCGGCGACCACATGTGACGACCCCGGGCTGGACTCCGCTTCGTCCACGGTGAAAGCCGATCCGGCGATCCACAGCGCGAACTTTAAGTATTTCCTCAGCGACCAATACCTGCTCAATAGAACTTTCAGTAAGCTATTTTTAGAGTGTGCACACGACGTTCCTGGACGCGTGCGTCTGTGCCCTGCTCGGTCCTGCTCCTCCGTGACGATGACGGCGTGCCGTTAAAAAAAATCATCACTAACGAATTTGAAAGTGGGGGGTAGGGGGTGGGACACAAACGTGATTTTGAAAAGTGGGGGGGACATGTCGGCATGGCCGGCAGATTCGACGAAGGAGCGGCGACCACATGTGACGACCCCGGGCTGGACTCCGCTTCGTCCACGGTGAAAGCCGATCCGGCGATCCACAGCGCGAACTTTAAGTATTTCCTCAGCGACCAGCACGGATCAGCTCCAGGCATGACGAAGCGGATATCGTCCTCTTTTGGAAGGCCAAACAAAGTAGTTTCGCTTTCACAACGAAACACACAGCGTCTTCACGACATGGCGACAGCAACAAAACTACAGCGAGAATAAAAGTTACGCCTTCTTTCTTTGCGTAAAAATTTGGGTGGCGTTATGCAAATATTCCCACACAGTGACGTAGACATGTGGGGGCGTGTTAGAATGAGCCATTTTAGGTAGGCGTGGTTAACTCTTAACTTTTATAAAGAATATGTCTTTGGATTTGAGACTTTAGTCTTTGCAACTTTACAGATCTTCTTTATGCACCAAGAGCTTGTAACACTCCAAAGAGAAAGGAAAAATTGAAATCGCATCATATGACCCCTTTAAACTAAAAAATGCAATCCTGAAAGTCTAACATTATTTTTAGATGTTTTCAAGGGAATGCTATTCACGCTCTGTTCTTTACCCCATTCACACACTGAACCTCTTCTCAGTAAATATCCGCAGGTGTGCTGGAATCTCATTATCTCCAAACAGTCAGATCAGGGCTGCACGAGTCTGTATTGACTGAAATGGATCAGAGTGAAGTAATCTATCAGCATGGTGGACGTCCATTCCACCGCCTCCATCCATTTTCGAACTCCCGCCACAAACAACAAAATGTTTCTACACTACAACAAAAACAAAAGGCTGTTGCAGTGGCTAAGGCTACATTTTTCTGTTATACATTAATACAGATTTAAATATTTCGATTTTTGAAAAGTATTTCAATTGGCAGTAAGAATAAAACTCTGAACAAAGAAAACTAAATTATGATTGGTTCCATAGGCTAATAGCTAATCTATTACGCACATAAACCCTTCTTTTTAGGCAAGTTCCAGGAATGTATGTCATTAAATATGTTAAACAGGAATGAATTTGTATTTAATGTGATTACAACTTTAAAAAAAACATTATACTTTACTAATAAGGCTTTCACTGCCACAATTATTCAAACAGCGAATAAATTATAGCCTTTACAGAAAGCGAACAAAGAACATATAACGTTAGGCCTACTATAAGAGACCATTATTTCAGTCTAGCATGAGTTTACACTCTCAAAAAAAACTTTGTTATAATAAATGAAGCTGTCTA